TGTATCTATCTATTTATATATATATATCTATCTATTTATATATATATATATATATATATCTATTTATATATATATATCTATCTATTTATATATATATCTATCTATTTATATATATATATCTATCTATTTATATATATATCTATCTATTTATATATATCTATCTATTTATATATATCTATCTATTTATATATTATATCTATCTATTTATATATTATATCTATCTATTTATATATATCTATCTATTTATATATATCTATCTATTTATATATATCTATCTATTTATATATATCTATCTATTTATATATATCTATCTATTTATATATATCTATCTATTTATATATATCTATCTATTTATATATATCTATCTATTTATATATATCTATCTATCTCTATCCCCTTACAAAAAATCCACATGAATTCACACATGTGATTTCATGTGAAGTCATGTGAAAACAAGTGAAATTATGTGATCTTATGTGACATTTCAGATGTGAAAGGATTTCACATGAAATCACATGTGAAATTTCACAAATGAAAGGATTTCACATGAAATCACATGTGATATTTCACATGTGAAAGGATTTCACATGAAATCACATGTGACATTTCACATGTGGAAGGATTTCACATGAAATCACATGTGACATTTCACATGTGAAAGGATTTCACATGAAATCACATGTGAAATTTAACATGTGAAAAAACTTCACATGAAATTACATGTGACATTTCACATGTCAAAAAATGTCACATGAAATCACATGTGAAATTTAACATGTGAAAAAACTTCACATGAAATCACATGTGACATTTCAGATGTGGAAGGATTTCACATGAAATTACAAGGGAAATTTCACATGTGAAATGATTTCAGGTGAAATCACATGTGACATTTTACACGTGAAAGGATTTCACATGAAATTACAAATTACAATATGATGATACAAGTGAAATTTCTTATGTGAAAGATTTCACATAAAGTAAAAAGTGAAATTTCACATGTGAAATATTTCACATGAAGTAAAAAGTGAAATTTCACATGTGAAATATTTCACATGAGGTAAAAAGTGAAATTTCACATAAAGTTAGAAACGAAGTTTGGTATGTGATTTAAAGGATTTCACGTGTTATAAGAATTTTATATGAACCTATAGAAGTAAAATTTCATAGGTGAAAGGATTTCACATTAAGTAAAAAGTGAAATTTCACGTGTGAAACGATTTCACATAAAATCGCACATGTAACCCCCCATGGGAAAACGTACGTCAACGCTTTTCCGTTTAAATGAAAAAAAAGATACGGATAGCTAGCAAACGGTAAGAAAACGTTTTTTATAATACGTTTTAATAGCTAGTAATCGTTCGCTATTTAAACAGATGGCGAACGGCCGCATAAACGTCTTTTATATCTGTTAATTTTAAACCTTAGCTATATATATGGTATGTACGTTTTCCGATGGACAGTCACACATGAAGTTCTATATCTGAAACTCTAAATAAAAGGTCCATGGTTAGTAATATATCACACAATTAAACCTTTATTCCTAAAATACAAAATATGTACATTACCATTAACATTCATGGACACGTACCAGATATTAATGGAGTACTCAGTCTCTGTCCACAGTATTTGGTAGTTTACAATAAAAGTACTCTTCCTCACTATCATCTGCAATAACTGCAAATTTGTCCTGAATAGTGTTCAGTTCCACAATTGCCAACGCATCAGACGTCTCCTGAAGTATTCTAATGTGACTGCACAAGTTGCCACATCCACTCTCGAAACTCTCCAGTGCATCTGAAAGTTGTACCTCTCGTCCAAAAGCAATGCTACTAATATCATCACATCCTTCAAACCTGATTATAACAAATACATCTAGTTCAAATGTCAAATAGTTTTCGGTTCCAATGATGTAATTTTTTCTTCTTGACTGCCGCTTATATTTAGTGCAATGGAATACGTTCCCATTCACAATGGCTTTCGTGAAGAATTCTCCATCATTTTCAACATCATTCCTTTGGTGTAGCTCCTCAACATGGTACTTTTCCTCAATTGTTAGTGGTCTTGAATATGACGCCCCCAAGAAGGTAATGTTTTGTTCCATCTTTTTGGCCTTTTTCAGTGGTGTGTAGCCTTGGAGTTGGTCATTCATGAAGGAGAAGATGTTATCAGTGAGGGGATCTGCAGTTGCCTCGCCAGTACTGCAAATTATAGACAACTCTTTGTACATGAGGAAAGAGTTGGCAATCTGATGAGGAACTGCTTGAGTTCCATGGAACAAGCTCAGGAGTACCATATTAAATCCCTCGAAAATATAGGAGGAATAGCATGGCAATGGACCCCAATCAATCACTGCTTGCACCAGATGGGTCAGCTGATGGACATTGTATGTCATGTGCTTCTTGCCATACAACACCTGGAACTTCTGAGTAAACTGCGACAAGCAATGGGCGGCCTTGTCGAGGTCAGCAGAGCTGATACTTGACTTGGTTAGCAAGTAAACGCCTTGCACCAAAAGAAGTAAATGTTTAAAATACCGTTGTGGAAGCAATCCATGCAGGACAACTGGTGAATATAAGAGCAACCACCAGTGCCACTCAGAACCTTTCCAAAACGCTCTCTGCGTAATTGATCTTGGAACCCTTGTAACCTCTTGTGGTGGCATTACGTGTTTCAATCTTGAATCGATAACTGGTATGTGTTTGCCAAGATACCATGGTTCGTTATGATTGTTCGAGTCAAACCATAGATGTCCTAGTTGTCTTGTAACGCCTAAATCTATGCAGTGGAGATTGTCCACCACAAATCCTCTTACAATGTCAAAATTGGGCAAATCAGCCAGTTTGGTTGGCCCTTTCACGCCTTTCACTGGTTCTTTCTTACGGAATGCTAATCGACCATTCTTCTTCAGTTGTTCATGTGTTCTTAAGTCCGGTTGTTGCGCTTCTTCTGGGTAAACTCTGCAATGACCGCGTCCTTTTTCAATCGATTCCCCTGGATTTTCACACCAACTGCAACCATACAAACCATTAAATTGAAGGATATTCTGCAATACACACCTTGCCACGCTGTCACACGAGCAAATAATACACCACCACAGACCCATCTCATTCCAACATTGCTCAATTTTGCCAACTCCTCGGTAAAAGGCTTAAGGAACGTAGTCATAACGGGTTTACCAGTTCCAAACCATAGACCAATTAAGAAAATGTTTTCTTTTCTTTGCTTCGGTGGCAGTTCATTCAAAATCCCTTGCAGTGGCCAAATTCCAAAGTTGGAAGACTTGAAAATAGGTACTCCATCACAGTTGAATGAAACACTTAGGGCATTTGGATCTGACATCAGTAAACCTCCAACCATAGATTTGTATAATTCGCCATCAAAAATGTCCTCAATAGCTGAAGAGGATATTTTCTTCCTTGTAAATCTGTATGCAAGGTTTAAAGTGTCACCACACTTCATGAACAAATCACGTATCTGCTTTTCCAGAGGCAAATAAATGAAAACGTTTCCATCCCGTAGCAGCACATCCTTTCGATATAAGACATTACATCACGTGCATTCAAGGCCTTCAATCCCTGTCAGTAAAGCGTTGCAAATTGGGCAGTACAGTTTAAACTGAACACCGTCCTTAAAAGGATTAAAATGCTTATCAAAAAGATACCTTGTCTTGGGAAGTCGGGAGTCAGCTGGCAACAATGCAGCTAGCAATCTCAGGAGGTTTCCAACAGCAGCGCCAGAAAGATTATTTCCAAGTATAAAAGCCATAATCAACAACAAACTTTGACCAACAGTCACACTAGCTCCATCATAGAGTGGTTCATCAACATCAGATTGATTATTCTCAATTTCCTGAATTGAAGAAACACAATTTTTTAAATTATATTTAGTAATATGCAAATAATTTAATGGTTTAGGGAGGTGCACGACTTTTGAGTGTTATTTTAATAAACCCTCCACCCATTTGACAGTTCCAATTCCTCTTTGACAAGTAATATTTCTGGCATAATAAAGTTAACTAGTTAAAAAACAAATTACAGTATTAAACACAATTTCACTTGATTTATGGGTCCCTTGACAATAAAAATATGGACAATAACAACCAGGAAGGTATTTGGAACATACATTAACATCATGTGATTCATCAGTGTGCTCTTGGCAATCATCTTCTTGGTTCAAGCCATTCTCTTCTTGGAAACGATCTTCAATTCCAAATATGTTGAAGTCTAAACCTAAAAGGCATGAATGCATATAAAATATAGCTTACGGTATCGGTAAAAATTTGTGTAAGCTTAGGCGTAAAAAAAATACCTGTGGTTCCGGTTCCCGACCGACCCTATTTTATTCTGCCGACCCTATTATTTTTTTCAACGCGATTGACCGTGCGACCCTATTTTCTCCAGGTGGTTGCAGGCTGCTCGTACAGCGTGCCAAAATAGCGTCTGTTGTCACACTAATTATTGAACCAAATTGCCTAAATTCGTCCATAGGAAATACTCAACTGCAAATCGCCCAGCAAAAAACCGCCAAAACCATGAAAAAAATATTCAAAAAAAAAATTATTGCCGACCTACCGACCCTAATTTTTTCACGATATGAAACCGGAACCACAGGTACTTTTTTTTACGCCTTACTAACCACAGTAGGGGCTAAATCAAATACACTGTAAGCCTGTTATGGTTTTTAGTACTGTAGGGCTCTAGTCGATAATAAAAAAGGAAAAATAATAATAAAATAAATATATAAATAAAAAAGGGCCTTCCACTGGGCAGGCTACACTGTATAATGATTTGTGTCAAATGTTGCACCTTGGTCAACTTAAGACCCCAGAGTAAGTCGAGTAACACACCCTGATTCGCATTGACACAACATTAACTTGAACTGGCATAGTTTAAATTAACTGGGATCTTGTTACAGCAACTGCTGATTAACTCTCCTTGGCAAGCTAGTAAAATTGTCTGGCTTTATAGCCTGAGTATAGCCCCTTTGCATGAGCCAGGAGTTTAAAGAACCCATGGGGTTTATTTTTATTGCATTCACATGAACCCAGGTTGACATGAATGTAGGTACAGTGGTGTACTGTGGCATTCTTTCCATACATATCTCTTTCATTACAAGAGGTTTTACCCATATATGCATGTGTTCTCAACCATCAATCAACTACTGTATGTTAGCGGGGGACCAGCCAATACCCAAGTTTACATGAAGAAATATGCACAATTTTCTCAAGAAGGGTGACCCGGGCTATTGTATAAACGCTAATAGAGATTTATTTGCAGCGCTCTAACCAACTGAGCTACAAAGGCCAGCTGTTAAGCTGTAACCGTAAGTTCATGTATATATAGGTAATCAGGTGTGCGGGTTGTGATAAGGTGGACTTCATGACTTAGATTCTTGCACTTCACTTGTCTTAAAATGTATATATTCTCACTTGGATTCCAAACCCTAACATTCTAATATTAATTCCACCAAGTGAAGTGCAAGAATCTAAGTTATGAAGTCCACCTTATCACAACCCGCACACCCGATTACCTATATATACATGAACTTACGGTTACAGCTTAACAGCTGGCCTTTGTAACTCAGTTGGTTAGAGCGCTGCACCGGAATCGCAGGGCCGTAGGTTCAATTCCTACCAGAGGACCTTATGCTGCATTTTTCGCAGACGTTCCTGGTTAGGTCTTAAAATGTATATATTCTCACTTGGATTCCAAACCATAACATTCTAATTCTAATATTAATTCCACCAAGTGAAGTGCAAGAATCTAAGTCATGAAGTCCACCTATTTTCATATATAACACTAAAATTCAAACATTTTTTTATCAATGTTTCCATGACCAGTTTTATTACGAGCCTGCATCTTGCCGACACGTCCAAATACTTCATGTATATCTACTATATAGACCTGAAGAGGAACCAAACTTTAGTACTATGTACTGCATCTTCAAATCAAAGCATTTCCTTGTCAATTTTTCCTAGAGCTGCTCCCATCAGTTAATTTTCGTAATCGATTAATCGTTGTCAACAATCGATTAATATCGATTAATTGTATTGATAATTAATTTAAACATGAAAAGCCCATGGTGGTTTGACAGGTTTCTAAATTGCAATATGAATATGCTTTACTAAATTTTTTTGGGTTTCATCAGTCATGCAGTATAAACATTGTAAATCTGTGTTTAAAATGAACGTAAAATCACAATTACAGATTGCGCACGTTCTCGCGCTCTTACACTTCACATAAGAGACATGCATTAAAAGACAGAAAGGATATTAAGGATGTTTACTTTAGTTGTTTACCTTTGACACTCCTAAGCAAATTTGCGAGACTCTTATGGATTTATAATTGGTTTATGTCTGCACGTCGCAATGTTGGACGCAAATGGTAATAAATTATTCTCATAAATGGTAATAAATTATTCTAATAAAAATAAACATTAAAGCTATTTTCGCAGCACTGCAACCCGATCAGACTATAGTAAACTTTGCACGCTGCAAGTGACATTGATTTTGACCCACAATGTTTTGAATCAATTTGTCATTTCATGTTTCAATCACAATCTTGTCGCAACTTTTTTAATCTGGAAAGAAATTAACTCATTCCCGCATCACGCTGTATGGTGTTATAGATGATCTGATTACTGTTAGGTATAATCGATTGTGGAAAAATAATCGATTAATTGGGAGCAGCTCTAATTTTTCCTGGTCGGCTGTACAGACAAACAGTTTTCCTGATCCAAAAGCTGGCATGACCAGCTTTTGAACCAGGCTCCTTGTCAAGGAAAACTTGTCAATTTTTTGCCATACACCCAAGCAAATAAAACTTGTCAAGGAAAAATTTAGTCTGCGAAAGCAGACTGATCAGACTGATCTTGGTCTCTTCCTCCTCTCATAGGGAAGAGGTCGAGATCAGTCTGCTTTCAAAGACTAGGAAAAATTGTCAAGGAAAAATTGGTCGCCTGTGCAGGGCTTAAATGTCTTTATTACTTTGACTTATACTAGTTTTACTTTTGCCCCAAAACAATTATATCTGCTAACCACTCATCACGGCCTTCAAGGGAATCTGAGTCGTGCCAATTTTGGTTAAAAATATCTCATTTGCTCTGCTAGTTATACAGTAAGTCAGTAAGAGTTATACAATTTATATTATAAGAGTTATACAATTTATATTATAAGAGTTATAGAATTTATATTATAAGAGTTATAGAATTTATATTATAAGAGTTATAGAATTTATATTATAAGAGTTATAGAATTTATATTATACGAATAAAAACTCAATACTATTTATATCAAACAATATCACGACAATATCCGTGGTTCTATCAGACTAAATTAATAACGTGGTCACTGATTTCATACTAACCTGGGGCAGAGGCATTCGAAGTCTCGTAAATATTGCAAAAGCTTCCATCGCTTTCTTCTGAGTTATCATGTGGGATATCAATTTCACCAATTTCTTCCATCCCATCATGAAGCATATCAGATGGCTCTTCAGTTTGATTTTCTTCGCTGTTGTCGGGGAGCAAACGACGCCATTTAGTGGTTCTTGGAAGAGAAACGCTTTCACCTGATAGTGATGGTGTAAGGTATAACTTGTACGGACCACGTTTTCGTTTGGGTATTTCTTCCCCTTCGCTATCGGAACTGGTGTCCATTGCATAGCAAACACAGTTAAAAGTTGTGATTTGTGTTCATTTGTGCCACAGAATAGAGAATAGACTATTTTCTACTCTGTGTGTGTGTTCAAGGTTCGTGGGGATAACAGGATACAAGGGGTAACTTTGGTTAGTACAGAGACAAAAGTGGATATAATTATGTCACATCACGTGATAGCAAAAGCGCCAAAGTTCAAGTAAACAATGCATCTCGGTCATATTTTTGTCGTCTGTCTTTTATATCAAGCATTCAAGCTACACGCAGCAGCAACACTCTCTCTTAAGTTTTTTTAAGTTTTCAAGCGTTTAATTTGTCATGAAATACATCCTCGTCCACTGGTCTGCTACAAATAACACTACCGTGTTAACCGAGGAATTTGTCCATGACAAAAGTATGCTGAACGACCCGGAAAAAAAAGGCATGATTCGATATGGAACGATTGGGGCTAAACCACCTATTAATGGCGGTTGGAAAGCTTATTTGGGGCGAGTTATTTTCGTAAATGGTGAGTAATTTATATGTTTATTCTTTATTGACGAGCATTAAATCCGAATTAAGCCGCATGTTTGTTGTAAGATATATTAAAATGCGTATAAAGATAAAGCGGTATATTAAAAACTAAGCACGTGTCAAAGGGCTTTTATATAAAGGCCATTAAAAACTACTTATTTTACCTATTTAGGACAATTTATGCCCTCAAACCGAGAGTTAATAGCTAGAAAAGCTGCGTTTTTGAAATAACATGTAGAAATGAAGTGTCCCAGTTGAAAAATATTGCTCTAAAATCCAGATTCACTGTTGTATAAATTGTCTGTATCTCACTGATTTGTATTGGCGTCCATTTTGAATCTGATAATTAATCGGGCTTCATCCGGGGGTTGCCAACAAAGAGTTTTGTTGATACTTGACCTATGATGGGTCTCTTTATATGATCCCGGCCAGACGGGACAGGATACTTACGGTAATGAGATCCTGCTTGTAATACAAATTCTAAAGTGTGTTTATATGATCCCGCCTAGATGGGATCTTGGCAACAGATGCCGGGATCCCACCTAAGCGAGATGAAAAATTCCCATATAAACACTTCATCCAGCCTAGCCGGGACGAAAAAATCCCAAATATATCCCGGCTAGGCAGGATGAACTTTTCCCTTTTGAGCTTGCATAAATGCTTTTATTGCAACAAAAATATGACGTCAAGCACTTAAATGGCTTCATCCCATCATGTCTAGGCGGGATCGTATAAACAGACCCTAAATGAAGAAGGCACACTGTTCCTAAGAGTATCCTACCTACTTTGTTACAATTATCTGGACAATTTTCATCGAAGTGACTATATGTCTGGCAGTTGTTTTGAAAAAACTAAATGTCTGGTAGTTTGAAAATTATTTGTTCGTAAACATTGACCACGATAGAATGGGAAGATTCGCTGAAAACTAACCACAAACATAACAATTTAATACAATCTAACTGCTGGATTTTATAGTCACTTTGAATATTAATTGTTACATTACAGACTTGACATGATCTTTAAACATTAAAGCCAGACCATTTACTTGGCAAGGAAAATACTCACTAAGTGGTAGATTTTCTTCATAATGTCTTAGCTAAAATGTTTTTATTATGTATCTGTTAGAAAAAAAGAAACTGGTTGAACTCGAAGAAAGCAAATTCCTTGGGGAATGTTCTAGTACAGATGATTTCAGCAGTGGTGAATTAGATAATAAAACGAGAAGAACAAAAAGAAGATTATCATCTGATTCTGAGAAATCCGAGGTTTTGCCTTCCAAAGAAAAAGTCCAAAAAGTATGTTTTATTCACTTTAATAATTGGTCTTGAATTGGTTAAGAACTTTTACCAAAGGGAATCTATAGTGGTTTTTGTTTATTTACTGTGTGCCGTTAGGGACTATACCAGTCTAAATTCTTTTGGCCATTTTGGCAATTCTTACATGTGCAGTAGTACTACACAAAATATCTACAAATGAAATGGAGCAAACTGTACCTGTAGCCTGCGTGCAGACTATATAATGACGTATATAGTCTGCGAATCTGTGGCATGAAGCTTTGTATGGTCACTAACTTTTGAACAGCCCAACATGCTTTGTGAATGCAATGTCCGATGATTAACATTAATTTTGCATAATCATAGTTCAACCAATCACAATTTGTCCCAACGCCTCTCAGGAAATTCACATGACCATACAAGCTTCGTGCCACAGATTCGCAGACTATATATGTCATTGTATAGTCTGTGTGCAGGCTACTGTACCTGTTGACCGGCATTAGCCCTATTCACATTAGAGACGGACAAGTCGTCTAGACGAACAAATCGTCTCTCAAAAATCGTCTTCACAAAACCTTTTAATTTACTGTCAAGGAATTCACAATAAATTTAATGATATTA